TATATGAAGAAGGAGTTTTGGGCTACCACTTAGAATGGAAATGCCTCATTAGTCAACTCCCTCGACCTGAGACTTGAGGGACTCCTACCATATGATACTGCACCTTGATACTCGGAGTCTTACGACCACTCAGTGACTTGGATTTTTCAATTCTCCAAACGAGAAGTTTTCCTCACTCAGGAAATTAAGGGAGCATTACCTCAACCTACATGCTTTACTCACAAAGCTTCAACATACAAGCTTCAACAAAAGGAAAAATTCAAAGAACTTAGTGAAGAAGGCCTTGGTGTATTTAACACAATACGTTGAAATGAAACAAAACTTGTTTATTGATATCTCTGATAAGTTACAAATATGTACATATACATGAATCAAAATAAACAAACAAGAGGGAACCTTCACAAAGGTTACTCAGGAAAAGTCTCAGTAGTCGGCAGAGCCCTAGAAAGAAGAGGCACTAGAGGGTGATTATTCGGAGCCTCAGTACTAAGCAGAACCCTAGAAGGAGGAGGAACCGAAGGTTGATCGTTTGGAGCTTTATTACACGGTACAGCCCTAGAAGACGAAGACAATAAATGTCTTTGGAACAAACCCACAAACCTCTGATGATCAAGTAAAATCTGACCATCAGATTCTTGCAGCTGGTCGAGCTTCCTCTTCATGTTTGTAGTATAGTCATGTGCGAGCCTGTGCAACTGTTTATTCTCATGCTTGAGCTCTCTGATCTCATGTTTGAGACTTATCACTTTAGCCGCCAGTGATTCAACTTGGCGGATTCGAGCAAATAGGCATTGGGCCATATTAGACACAGAACCTGCATACTGAACACTGAGAGCCAAAAAATCCTTAACAGCCAACTCATCAGATCGTTTGGAAAGTAGTCTGTTATCTTTGGGAGTGAGAAGGTTCATGGCCACCATCGCAGCGGTCATATCATTCTTCATCATAGAGTCCCTCAACGGTAAAATGACCAGTAGGGGATAAGAAGGATGGGCACCATATGTTGTCTTGAGAAGGCATGACTGCCTCTTCACCAAAGTTCAAGTCAAAACGACGGTCAGATAGGCCAGACATTCTCGGAAATGATGAAGGAAAAATGAGGTGCAATAAATCTCTGAAGTAAGGGGGAAATTCCTACAAGCAATAACTCTCTTAATGTATTTCTTGCATACAATTGGTGCCCTTATAAAAGAAAAGGCAACAAGGCCATTGGTTCAAAATCGAAGAGGCACCACTCTCCGGATTTCGAAGAGGCACCATTTTCCACACGCAACATCAGCTTCTCGGGTACCACAGATAACTTTGCCAAAGATCTCTGACAAAGTTTAGATACATAAATTTTGAAGGTCCAGCTACCCTACTATTACCCACAAGGGTAAATGAACAGCACCACTGCTTGATAACTAGAAAGTCCCAATATGTGTCAACCTCCATGCTTCGTGGCAAGGCAGACTGGCAAAAATGCCCAACCTTTACTCACATTCGAGAAAACACTCCCAACAAGATTGCTTGCTCAAAAATCGAAGAGGCACCGCTATCCGAATCTCGAGAGCTAGAGTCCGAACAGGATTACGTGCTCAAAAATCAAAGAGACACCACCCTCCGAATCTCGAGAGTCAGACTCTTAACAGGATTACTTTCTCAAAAATCGAAGAGACACTGCTCTCCGAATCTCGAGAGCCAGACTCCCAACATGATTACGTGCTCAAAAATCGAAGAGGCACCGCCTTCTGAATCTCGAGATCCAGACTCCCAACAGGATTACTTTCTAAAAAATCGAAGAGACACTGCTCTTCGAATCTCAAGAGTCAGACTCCCAACAAGATTGCTTTCTCAAAAATCGAAGAGGCACCGTTCTCTAAATCTCGAGAGCCAGATCCCCGACAGGATTGCTTGTTCGAAAACCGAAGAGGCACCGCTCTCCGAACTTCAAGAACCAGATTTCCTTGGATAAAGCTTGTTTGCAATCTTCACACGTAACATCAGCTTTCCAGATACCACATACCACATACCATTTTTTCAAAGTGCTCTGACAAAGTTAAAACATGTGAAGCTTGCAGCTCCCACTACATTGCTATGACCAATAAGGGTAAAGGAATAGCACTACTACTTATTGTTAGGGAGACTCCTATATATGTCGACCTCCATCCTTCACAGCCAGGCATACCTGCAAATAATAAAAAATGCTCAACTTTTCTACACATCCTAAAGGGCACTCTCAGCAGAGTCTCTCGAAATACTCAGCTTCTTTTCCTCCCGATAATATCTCTGCAAACAAGACACACCATAGCAAGAGTATCTCATATCGTCGGGGTTAAAAGCAAGAGTATCCCATATCATGCTTTTTTCCTATCTTTTCCTTTGGCCTTGTTCTTACCTGTAAGACAAGAAGAAAGAGAGCAATCAGTCAGCACTTGGAATCAAGCTTCCAGTCAGGAACTAACTGCCTGGAACCCCTTGCCTGATTACTTATCTGGCATTGCTCTCGAGTACTCATCTTCAACATCTTATGCTTCCAGAGAAGATACCACATCTGCCTGAGGAACAGATAAGGCAAGTGAGAAGGATACAAGGAAGCACGTGGAGACAAGCGTAACAGAACACATGCCGATACATCCACTACTTTGTCAACAGCAAAAGTATTCCATATCATCAGGGTCAAACGTACTCTAGATTTGTTGGACTTGTTTTGACCCTCAAATTCTTGAGTCGGCCTTATACTCTGGAGGAAACCAGAAAACCCTCCAACCCAGTTCAAGGATAAGCATGTGGAAAGTTACTTATTCAAAAGCAAAATTATCTCATATCATATCTTCTCCATTTGCTCCTCCTTATCCTTGTTGCTGTTTACGACACAAGAAGAATGAGAACAATCAACCGGAAGCCGAAGTCGAACCTCCGATCCAGGTTGCTTACTTGGAAGTCTGATTGCTTACCTTGTCTGTTACCTCATTCGGCAAATCTCCTAGCTCGGCGACTTGGGGGACTCCTACTATAGGGTTTGTATCGCACTTGACCAAGCCCGAAACTACAAGTAAGCTTCAAGTGAAATTGATACATTACCTTGTGCATCTTCATCGGTTAAAGATACCACCCCTTGATGGAGGAAAAGTACTTCCAGAGAAGATGCCACATCTACATATGAGACAGATAAGGCAAGTGAAAATGATACCATACTTCGGTACTTAGAAGTTTCGTGATTACTCAATGACCTAGATCTTGCAAGTCCTCAATCGAGGAACTTCCCTCACTCGGGAACTTAAGGGAGCATTGTTTGTACCATACTTGACCAATCCCAAAACTACTGAGCACCGGTCAACGTTATACCGTCAAGGACCCAAAAGAGTTTCCCTCCAACCAAGAGGCCAATCACAACACGACACGCGTCAACATTAGAAGCCAATCATAGCGCGACACATGTCAACATCAGAAGCTAATCACAACACGACACGTGTCAATGTCAGAATGAAACTAGAAACTCTCTTCTATAAATAGAGATCATTCTCTCACAATATTTCCTAATGTCATTTGTACTAAATCATTCACTAGTACTCACAAAAGGAGAGCTTGAACCTATGTACTTGTGTAAACCCTTCACAACTAATGAGAACTCCTCTACTCCGTGGACGTAGCTAATATGGGTGAACCACGTACATCTTGTGTTTGCTTTCCTGTCTCTATCCATTTACATACTTATCCACATTAATGACCGGAGCAATCTAGCGAAGGTCACAAACTTAACACTTTCTGTTGTACCAAAGTCCCTATTGATTTTGTGTATCAACATTTATCAATTTATATATAGTAGATATAGGTATTCAAATGTAATGAAAATTGAAGATAACCCAGTAAACTAAACATAAAAATTAATCAAAAACTGAATCTCCGAAGCAAAATTTGAATCTAAAAATAGAGGAGCAAAAACCCTTTTACGCTAAAATTTGTGTGAGGTTTTTAGCGCATCTAACTAACCTGCAAATATATTAAAATTAGGAAAAAGTTATAGAGAAAAATTAATTAGCACATATAACTAACTTGCTTACAATAAGTGCTAAAGAAACACTGATATGGTTGCTTTATTGGAGATTCTAATTCTTAAATCAACTTGTTGATTTGTCGAAGGATTCATAATATATTCACCTACATTGGAACATGAAAATCATTAAAATTTTGATTAAAACTGTGATATGAAATATCAAAAAGTTGATTTAGGAATTAGAAGCTATAATTGACCAACCATACCGTTGTTTCTTGGACAATTTGAAAAGGTTGCTACGTCCTGCTGCCTTTTTTTATGGTTAGAACATCCATGCTGCTTAATTATGCAAAATTGGCCAAGAGTGCTCTTCTGGTTTAAGATGAGAAACCAGAAGGTTATGAGAGAGTTTAAAGAAGGTTTTGTTTTTGTTGTGAGAAACCCTAATATTAAGGGTATATTACTACTTTGACATCAAGTTTTGGTTAGAATTATCATAAAACTAAAATGGTGGCAATAATTCTATATGTGATCTAAAATATGGTTACTTTTCCGAATTTTCTGAAAAGGGTGCAAGTTTTTAATTCAGACATTTTAATATATCAATAATCCAGTAACTAGTCGATAACACTTAAAAAAAAAAAAAAAAAACACTTCCAACTCAATAGCTTAAAGAAAAACTCAACTAACTCGATAACCGGCAGCTAAAGATCAATTAAAGCGTGACAACTGGATATATAAGATTTTTTTTCATCCAATCGAGCTCTCAAAGTGTTATTGTATAAGACTTGTAGTTTACAATTTTATTTTAATATTTTTCCAAACCATACTTGTATTAAGAATGGTTAAAGACGAACTGGCGTATACAACTACTCTGTATATATTACGATCTTGACTTAGTTATTATCTCTTTTTTTTATTGGCTTGTTGTCAATCTTAATTTGTTGATTAAAGTAATTAATTAATTAAAATATGAGTTTAAAGTTGAGATGAACTCGTTCCTAATTAGTGTTTGATTAGTGCTAAAGCCAACCTTCAAGAAAACGCGCAACTCTCTCGGTCCAAAGTCTTCTGACGTCTCTTTGCCGTCTTGCTTTGCGGTTTTACTTCGTCTTTCTTCTTCCTTTCCCTCTCCTCTCTCTCTCTCTCTCTACACATGCCTTTCCCTCCTACCTCGACGACCTTGTTGTTCTTTCTCCACCTAACTCGCCAATGAATTCCCCACAAAACCCACCTCTCTAAATCCCCAGAATCCAATCCAGGAATCGTTTTCGAATCCGGGTTTTCCCCCAGAATCCAATCCAGGAATCGTTTTCGAATCCGGGTTTTCCCCCAAAAGAACCAGCTGCTTTCCCTGCTGGATCCTAATGATCCAGATCTTAGAAGCTTCAAAATTCGGGACCACCAATCCAAAATCCAAAAATTGAGTCTTTGGGTTGTTTTCAATTTCGATTCCGGCCCCAAAGATTTCTGCTTTCTTTAATTTCAGATGGATCTTCACAAAAATTCAAGAGCCGCCGTTCTGGGTTGTTTTCTGATTCTCTCCACGTTGTTTTCCGATGCGTCGGCAAACTTGGTGTTCTCCGTTAGCCACAAGTTCAAGGGCCGTGACGGGCGGTCGTTGAGCGAGCTCAAAGCCCACGATTTCCGCCGCCACGGCCGGATTCTCGCCGGCTCTGCTTCTGCGGTGGATCTGCAGCTCGGCGGCAATGGCCATCCGTCTGAAACCGGACTATACTTCGCCAAGCTCGGGATTGGGTCGCCGTCGAAGGACTATTTTGTCCAGGTGGATACGGGGAGTGATATCCTGTGGGTCAATTGCGTAGGCTGCACAAACTGTCCCAAGAAAAGTGACATCGGCGTGAAGCTCACATTGTATGATCCGAAAAGCTCATCGACTTCGAGTTCTGTTACTTGTGATCAGGAATTTTGCACGTCGAAATACAACGGTCAACTGCCGGGCTGCCAGCCGGACTTGCTCTGCCAATACGACGTGACATATGGCGACGGAAGTGAGACGGCCGGATACTTTGTGCAGGACACTATTCAATTTGATGAGGGGACTAATGGCAGTGTTGTGTTTGGTTGCGGTGCTAAGCAGTCCGGGCAGCTGGGAAAGACTTCCGAGGCGCTTGATGGGATTCTCGGATTCGGGCAGGCAAATTCGTCTGTGTTTTCCCAGTTGGCTGCTTCCGGGAAGGTGAAGAAACAATTTGCACATTGTTTGGACAATGTCCGCGGAGGTGGGATTTTCGCCTTTGGCGAAGTTGTGGAGCCCCAAGTGAACAACACAACTCCGTTGGTGGCAAATCAGGCCCATTACAATGTTGTAATGGAGGCAATTGAGGTAGGAGGCGATGTCCTGCAGCTTGCCTCGGATGTTGGGACGATCATCGACAGCGGAACAACCCTGGCCTATCTACCGCAAGAGGTTTTCGACCCGGTGATGAAGAATGTTTTAGCCAAGCAGCCTGACTTGAACTTGCACACAGTTGACGACCAGTTCTCATGCTTCCAATTTTCCAGCAATGTAGACGATGGATTTCCATCGGTGACGTTCCACTTCAAGAATTCGGCTTCCCTGACGGTTTATCCCCATGACTATCTGTTCCAGCTGAAGGAAGATGTGTGGTGTTCCGGCTGGCAGAGCAGCGGGCTGAAATCGAAAGGTGGAGACTCCATGACGCTTCTGGGAGATTTGGTGCTGTCGAACAAGCTGGTGATTTATGATCTGGAGAAACAGACGATTGGTTGGGCCGATTACAACTGCTCATCAAGCATCAAAGTGGGGAACGAGAAGACAGGAGGAGAAGATACAATTGGTGCTCATAATATTTCTTCAGCTTCCACTTTTACAATTGGGAGATTAATATTGACATTCTTCTTGTTAATATCTGCTGTGTTTTAGATTTTTACTTGAACAAATATTGGCCAGCATTCATTCTTTTTTGTTGCATCATAAATTTTATCAATGAAATTGTGTGATTTTACATCCATGTTAAGACTCTTGGATTCTGTGTATTTGCTTTTTTTTTTCCCCCTTAAAAAATGGACCAGCTGGCTTTGTCATATCAGTTTACCTTTCTGAAAGTCGAGAAAATTCACAAAGTCATTTCAGCCTCTTCAAACTTAGGACATGCCGCAATGACTTGCGCTTTTAGTTTCTCACATGGCTGTACGTGTTTGGCTAGAAATGTCACCACAGTATCATGGCATCTCGTTGCATGGAAGTTCAAATGAGAGAAACGAATTTTTGCTACAACTTTCACTTAAGAGAGAGAAAGGGAGAGTTACAAAGCAAAGAATTGAATTTTACATTTTATCAATCAGTAGAGTAAGTACTACAACTTTCACATTACAAGCCAACGTGGCATCAACATCCTTTTGAATTACACAAGGCTAAAAACACTAGCAGTTATTTCTAAACCTAGAACTATTCTCTCCTCACAATTTTTTTGTTTCTTTTCAATTCGTTCTTTCTTCTTTTCCATTGTCTACAGAGAAAACGTTTAGAAAGTTCACTTGACTATAGCCTTTGCTTCACCCGCCTGCCATGGATGTCACTGCCATCGAGAATAGCTTCATTTCCGTGCCTGCCTGAGGATGCAGAATGCTCACTAACACTAGCTACGTATTCCAGGAGTTCAGTCAGAACGGATGGGCAGCTTTCCTTTAAGTGTTTGTAACCATCTGTTTGCATCACACCTGCAACAAAAAGAATTACGTATCGTTTAGTGAGTTACATAGCATTTCGGTTCAGAACCCATTGATTAAACAAAGAATACACAAGGACCAAAACGACACCAGAAGTAATACGAAATTATCTTCCATATAACCAAATTATCATCCATAATCATCATGGACAATCACATCTGGAATTCATGATGATAACAGTTTTCCTTTGCAAATTACATACAAAAATTTTGTTTTCATAGTATTGTAAAACAAAGTTTCATAGAGAAATGGGCTACCTAATAGATTTCCGGGAGTTGCGATGAATCTGAGACACACAGGTTTCAGCTGGGAGCAGTGATGTTGTTCTGCCAAAGCTATTGTCGTTGCCACATTGTTTATAGCGACATCCTGGCAGAGATTTGCCTCACATATCAACCTGAGCCTGTCTAAGCCATATCGATCTGCTGCTGCAAGCAGATGCTGAGCCATCAAAGTGGAAGCCCCATTGGAGTTAATTCCAGTAAGCTCTTCTATGTCAGGCAGTGAGTCCCAGTATATAAAATGAAGTAACGCCTGCAGAAGGACAAAATTAATGAGTGGGTAAGGATATGCTTGAAACTAGTTGTATATTTCATATTAGTCTTTCAGACAATGGGTGGGTAAAGAAAACTTAAAGGGAGAGCGCAAATAAAATAAACATGAAAACGGTCCCAAGAGGATGGTTATAATTCACCAATTCTCAAATTTCACATGACATCACAAGAACCACAAAATTAGAGAAGAAAACCACATCGTCAACCTATCTTACATTTCTAATGAAGGAGGATAAGCACTACATGTAAAAACATAATAAACCCCATGAAAAACTGAATCTTACTACTTCTTGCTAGGCCACATTATACTACTTAATACCAAACAAAACAAATCACTACTGCAATGCAATACAGATTACTTACATCAATCATGCAATCCGCTAGCGATATTGCAGCTAAAGCACAGTAAACATGAGATTATACTCATGGATACCAAATAAATATGGTAACCAACTTAAAACACTAAGTGCAAACATTTATCAGTGTCAGTAACCAAAGAAAAGAAGAAATGCAACAAACCTTGAAGACTGGAGCCTCTATGTCCTCAACTTTTATGCAACAAGTATTCTGATCTTTCATAGGACCAAATAGTTGGGCCCAGAATACAGGTGATCGAGCTGCTAGTACCAACTTGTGAGCAGAGAAAATCTCCTCGTCAACTTCAAAACTAATATCAGTTCCCTTTCCGGTTTCCAGTAGCTTGCCAAACTGATGGACCATGCTGGATGGTGGAATTGGTATAGAGTAAATTTTTGGTCCCTGTGTATGTGACTTCACAACGCCAACCATACAGTTAACTGATAGGCAATCATCTTTAAGGTAGTCTGATGTCTCCAGAGAAGTTCTTTTGAAAAAACGTTTGTAACCCCTGCAGCATCCAAAGAAACCATTAAATTGTTGCTACACGTAAACTATTATAAAAATGGAAACCATAAATAATACAGAGAGCTAAAATTAAGCTAGATCCGTGAACATCACACGACATGATTGATACTATTGGACAGATTTGCGACCATTATATTCTTTTCACATTACATTGCTATCTAATACATTCACGGCATCAAAAGAAGTAATCAATCACACTCCCGGGCAGTTACTTTAAACAGCAAATGGAGCATTAACATGATTAACAAAAACAGTGAATTTATTCTCTAAGCGCCTGAAACAGATTTGCATGATTTGCATGTTCATTCCTACCTTTACCCATACACCGAAGAACATAACTCAAGATCCACCACATAGAAATCAAATTATAGATATTTCATACACAAATTCTAACGTTTTGACAAGCCAAAGAAAAGCAATCAAAACTTTTCAACCCCCACGTCAACTGATTGCTTCACATTTCTTAATCAAAATGGCCAGTTTTCGATATATTTCACATCGACTGCAACAATCAGAGCCAACCGAGAACAATTGAACCACGCTTCTTTTTTTTCAGAAAACAAACATGGAAAACCAAAGTTACCAACTAGCATACAGCAATACACTTTCATCACAAAAGAAAGAACTCAGAAAAGCAAGATTCCCACAAATACACAATAAACCAAGAACTCGAAAATTGGGCAAACCCACCACATGCTTCCGCGATACTTGAGCGTGTACGGACCGCTATCCAATGTCCTCCCGAAATGGCTATGCACCTTGTGCCTCTCGTTCCCGCTCTGATCCAAAAGCGTCAATTCGAACAGCGCTCTCACATCGGCTCCTTCGCTCGCAAGCGCGATGAACAGCGAGACGTAGGCGGCATTGTCCTCAACGCTCTTGCCGTCCGGGTAGAAATAGATGGCCCACGAAAACCCACCCACATTAAACGTATCGGACGCTATGTACTTCCCAATCCCAATCCCCTTGGACAGCGAATAGCCGTTGATCTTGAAATGGTGGGTCCCGTTGACGGTCTCGGTGATCGACGTCGATGCGGTGGTGGTCGGAGGCGGCGAAGAGGCTGGGGAAGACGAAGACGACGAGGGCCTGGAGGTTTCTATGAGAACCCTACCCATCACCCAATTGAATTACTTGGATTTGAGATCTGGGGTTTAATGAGAAATGTGGAATTCGGATAAAATTGGATGCGGAAATGAGAGATTTGGGACTTTAGGATAGAGAAAGATTCAATCTTTTCCTGAAGATTTTCACGGGAAAGTGATGGGGAATCTAGGGTTTCGTTTCTCGAAGGTGAATTTGCAGGGCTTCACAACCTGTGAGAGAGGAGAGAGAGAGAGTGTGTGACAAGTGGAAGACAATGATGCTTGTGAAGGTGTTTTTTTTATAGTTTGTTTTTTCCGACCCGTGAATTATTATTCACGGAGAAAAAAAAAGAAAGCGGCTGCGGCACTTGCCGACCTACGTAATCGTTAATCAACTCGCGTTCTCATTAACCCACGTCACCATCACCATCCAGCGCTTTGCGCCCAAGGAGAGATTTTTCAGTACGCATACTGGTACATTATGTATCACTATATAAATTGTGGGATATGTGTATTAAAAAATTAATAACTTATAAAATAAAATTTCTCACTACTTCCATAAAAACACATAGTGTATTATTCTTGTTCTGATCACAATAAAAAATTTCTCGCGTTCAAGGGCATTTCTTGTTTAGATAATGGTCGTCTCTTCCAATGGAAACTGACTTGTTCTTCCATTTTCTTCTTCTTCTTCTATTTATGATCAACATATTTTTATACGGATATAATAATTGTAAATGTTGGTTCTTTTTATCATCATTTAAAGATGATATATGTAAAAAATCATTATGTTGGACATTATTTAGCCATCCGTTACTATCAAACCAATTGATGAATTTGGTAACAAGTAAAATATTTATAATGAACAATCGATTTGTTTGATATTTATGAATAGCATAAGAGATTACAAAAATACTATTAGTTTTTTGTGAATTTGATAACAAGTAAAATATTTATAATGAACAATCGATTTGTTTGATATTTATGAATAGCATAAGAGATTACAAAAATACTATTAGTTTTTTGTCTTTATATTTTGTTCATATTGTTTATACAATAATAATACACTTTGCAATGTCACCAAAAAAAAAATGTTCACCAACATAAACATTAATACACTTTGCAGACAGATAACACCTTATCACATTTGTATTTCATAATACAAGTTCGATTCTAACAATTCTTCTCTCCTTCACACCTAACTATTTAACATCGCTCTTCTAAAAGACGATACACTCGCAATTTTATTTTATTTTTTCCATTTATTTGTTGATGTGAAAAGTCAATATAACACAAAGATTAAAGCCATTGGTTTGTTGCTCAAATGGTGCGGGGATTGGTTAATTTCACAGTAAATTTCTCTATATATTATGAGTTGCTTCCTGCTCCCTAAGTGTTTCTGTGACAACCTAAATCGATTGGTAGCCAATTTTTGGTGGAATGGGAGTGAGGGTGACAGACAGATACATTGGCTCTCTTGGGACAAGTTATGCTCTCCTAAGTCGGAAGGTCGTTTGGGTTTTCCGCAACCTATACGCTTTCAACCTGGCTCTCTTAGCAAAACAGGCTTGGAGGATTATCTTGGAGGGTTTTCCGCAACTTATATTAGAGAAATTAGGGATTGTTTGATCTGGCACTTTGGAAAAAAATGAGCCTTCTCAGTTAAGTCTGCTTACCACATTGCCAGAAATTTGCTTCTTTATGTTGCTTCTTTCTCATCCTTAAGTCCCCCTTTGAAACTTTGGAATGTCATCTAGA